GACTACATGGGAGTCCAGCGACATAGCCATTATGCTAACTGATGGTCCCCCGAAATCACCTTCTCATCTTTATCTGAGGTTCCTGTTCTTTCTGCAGGCTTTACCTGGTGCTGTGTCACTGCTCAGGTTCCTCTGGGACCGACAATGGTTAAATCTGGAGAAGCTCCTCCTGTTAAAAAACAAAGGCCCAGCCTGGTGGCACAGTCATTAGCAAACTGAACGGCCATGCCGGAAGCCACGGGCTGACCATGGGTTCATCCCCAGGTTGGCCTGAAGACATGCTGGACATGTGTGCATATACCCGGGATCATGAGCTCGGGCGGGGGAGGGGAGGTTGTGGTGTGATGAGGTCCCGCTGGGGAGCGTCTCGTTCTCTCTCTAGTACGCACACGTGCTCTTGGTCATGAGTACAAGTAAACTGACTGGGCTGGCCCGTGGCCAGTGGCTAAGGGAGCGGGATCCCACTTGACTGACTGTGCGGTTTGAATTCCGGCCCTGGTGACTTGAAAACCTCACTGGGTACGTGTGCAGGCGTGCCCACAGTCCTGGCAGGATGGACAAGTGGAGGAGAAAGGTGTGGCAAGACCGTGCCTCACTGTGGGCTCTTTCTTTCTTCCTCTTCCTCTCTGTCTTTGGTCCCTCCTTGGCAAACACACGTGCCTTTTGGTAAATTAAAAAAAAAAAAATGATAAACTTAATTTTAAAAGGCAGGAAAAAACAAAGCCAAAATGTCTTGTCACACAAGTAACAAATGTTCACTTTCCAAAAACTGAAGAATGGATAAGAAGGAGAACCACCGGTCCACGTGAGCCCAGTGCGGACCCTCTGTGCACACATCTGTACACACTGCGCTAGCAGCTGCGTGGTTGTGTTTTGCCTCTTGACACGTTATTAGCTGCCATAACCTTCGTTAGCACCTTGTGTTCTCCAGGAGCATTCCTTTTTTTCCCCTGGAAAAATACAGAAAGTACAAAGAGGAGAATTCTTATTCATGTCTCACTATCCAATACTAATCACCATTAATGTTTTGTTTGTTTGTTTTGTTTAATTTTTTGCTGTAAGGTTTATACCAGCCAGAGAAAGGCAGTGAGAGACCGAGAGGGAAAGTGAGAGATCACTCCCCAGGGTGTATGACCATGCTGCAGTCCCTTCTCCTCCATTCTCCTCTTGGGATTTTGAGCATGCAAACACATGTGCCAGATGTGATTTTCAAGCCACTGGGTCTTGGGCCTGAGCTGTAGTTGGCCATGTGGGAGTCCTGCACCTTAACTACTGCGCCACCTGCTGGCCCCAACTGCTATTCTTTTTTTTTCCCTGCAGTTCATTTTTTTTTAAAAAAAAAACTAAGACATACCATTTTGTATTTGTGTGAAATGATAAAAATGATTCACATTGACTATGAAGACATCAGTTAGCATTGAGAAGTACAAAGAAGAGAATACCGACTGCCCCAAACCTGAGCCACCCAAAGTGACCTCTAATTTTAGGACATGACCTCATCCCAGGAAGCTTTCTAGCACATTTAAACAGATAGAAGGATGTTTATAAAGACGGATAGGAGTGCTTTCATAAAATGCAATTTGTCTGTGTGCTTTTATAATAAAAGCATTAGCACTATTTGATTTCAATTAAAAAAAAAAAGCTTGAGTGATTTCAGGGAAAAAAGAGAAATGAAGATTTTCTACTGATAATTCAGCCTCCAGCCCCCAAACTTGAGTGGTAGCCTCCTCTCTGTCTCTGTCTCTAGCCCTCTAGCCTTCTCTCTGTCTCTGTCTCTATGTCTCTCTGCCTCTCTCTGTGTCTTCTCATTTTTTTGTAATTTTTCCTTTAAAAATTTTTTTAAGGTAAAGTATACTCTTGGCTTTTAATTCCTCCTTTATCTTGCTAATAATCCCTTTTCTCCCTCCCCTCCAGGGGAAGCAAGGAGCAGGCCTTCAGAAGAAGACTCCACTATGCTCCTGAGAACTAGTGATTTTGTGCAGCACGATTTAGTTTTTACGTTAAAACACTAATTTTTTTAGTTGTTTTCTCTCTTTTTTCCCTCTTTTTCTCTTTCTTTCTTTTTTTCTTCTCTCTCTCTGTTTCCTTCTCTTATTCTTTTATCTCATCACTCTGCTCCTCAATCTCCATTCACTGTGTTTTTAGACAAATCTAAGAGAACCATGGCCAAATATCCAAATACTGTTAGGGTTAATATATTCCTCAGTACCCACTAAATCTGCTGCACGAAGGGATAAAAACAGTATGGCAAAGAGATTTCAGATTACCTCCTTCTGCATGCTCCTGAATGCTCAGATTGAACTTCAAGAATTTGGAAGAAACACACCATCCATCAGATGACTAGAAATCATTGCAGGAGCAAAAGAAATATGGGGGGAACCAGCCATTAGCGTAATGGCTATGTCGCTGGACTCCCACGTAGTCGACCGTGGTTCGTGTCCTGGACCCGGTGGCTTAAAACTCACGCCGGGTGCATGTGCGTGCGTGCCCAAGATCCCGAGAGGAGAATGGAGGAGAAGGGATTGCGGCGTGACCATCCCCCCTGGGGGGTGATTTATCGCTTTCTGTCTCTATGTCTCTCTCTGTCTGTCTGGCGAGCGCACGCGCCCTACAGTGAAAATCTCTCAAAAAAAAAAAAAAAAAGAAATATGGGAAAGCAAGAAAATATTTCTCCCACAAGGGAAGAGAATAACTCCTCTTCATCCACAAACAGTTTGATGGAAATCATGGAAACAGCTGATAAAGAATTTAGAATATTCATAATGATGAAGCTAACAGAGATGGAAGAGAAGAGAGACAATGAACTGCAGAAGAGGCAGGAGAAAGGAGCTGACGAGTTCCAGGAGGTGAGGAAATTCTTGCAAGATCGAAAAGAGGAAATACACACTATAAAAAAAGAATCAAATGCTCCTGTTAGAGATGACGGCTATAATACAGGAATTCAAAACCTCCCTTGAAAGTATTAAAAGCGGACTAGATCATACAGAAAATAGAATCTCAGATGTAGAAGATAAAATTGCTGGCCTAGAAAAGTCCACCACGAAGA